GTTATCCCGGCGAAAAATAACTTTTTCTCATTTCCTCATTTTATTTCTTTCGCAGTTTGAAGCGATTAACTACCACTGGCTTACGCCGAAAAATTCAGTAGATGAAAATTACTGTCAGAAGGCTAAGGAGAGAAATAATAGGGATGACTAACACTCGTTCAGAAATTCCTATCTCGCCAAAAAGCTGTAAAGCATTTCCCCCTCGGCTATGTTCTTCATAATTAAAAACCGCCGAAACAACTAAAATTAAATAAAGTAAAGTTCCCCATAACCACCAATTGATTGGTCTTGCTTTGCTATCTTCTAATTCTTTTTGTCATTGGAGATAACAAGCACCACACTGAATCCAAGTTTCTGTGATTTCTCCATTACTGTTAATATTGCCAATCCCGACTGAATTTTCTCATTCGGCATTCTCCGAAGAAACAATTTTTTGGTTCACCAAAACTCGATAAATCGCTTCACCCTCGCTAATTGGTTCCCAACAATTATTACAATTACTTACTTTAACTTTTTGAATTTCCATAATTTTTACTTGCTGTTTTAATTTTTCTCGTAATTAGACAGTCCTTTTTCGCATTTTATAACGATTAACACCCGGTTGAAAGAAAGCAATAAGACAGATTAGGAGAAAAATGACTAAGAAAGAACTCCTACCTCAAAGTTTTTTACGATTACTGGAAAAATGATAGAATAAAAATCCCACGACAGCACTAATTAACACTCCACTAACTAACCATTTCGGTCAAAATAACCAACTAGCGGCTAGTTCTTTTTGTCATTCATCATAGCACCACGCACATTGCACTCAAACTTCTCCGCTAGTGCTGCCACTGTGAGTTCCGCCCATTATTCCACCTTGGAAATTTCCAGGAATTACATTACCAATTATAGGGATATCTTTGGTGCCTCCTCCCGCCATCGCTCCTTGGCCTGAACCCTTATTCTTTTCGACTGAACTAGTATAAATCGGTTCCCCTTGGTAAATTGGCGTCCGACAAGTATTACAAGTATTTATTATTCTTCTCTCGTCGATTTTTACTTCGTTTATTTGCATATTTTTGGTTATTTATTAATTATTTATATTATTTTTGGTAATTATATACGATTTTACACTTAATTTCTACTCCTTTTGATTAAACAGTTAATCGCTTATATAGATGGTAAGCTGCTTTAATGAAAAAGAAAAAACAAGCAATTATTCCACCAAAAAAGAAAATAATCGCTCCCCAATCTCCACCAATTAAGGCACCGATGATAGTTGATAAAGCAACTATTACACCTCCAAAAAAAGTAAGTACACCGTAAATGAAAAATCTTTTTAAGTGATAACTTCTAATCTCGGAATTATAAAATATATTTCTCTCTCTCTCTCTCTCTCTCTCTCTTTTGGATTAATTTCCGTCATAGTATTATTTTATGGTATTATTTTAGGTAATTAGCATTATTTATTTGGCTTTTCGGTAGTTTGTTATTAAGTTTTTTTTGGAGCGAATAGAGGGATTCGAACCCTCCTCCTCGGCTTGGAAGGCCGGAACTCTGCCTGCTGAGCTATATTCGCTTAACCAAAAGCGGAGATTTTATCCGCTTTTTTGGTTTTATCTACTCCCGGCAGTTTGGAGATTAGTGAGGCATCTATTATAAGTGCCGTCGATATGTTTTTTATTTTTCTGATAAATTTCTTGGTCCTGAACCGTTTCGTAAATCTCGTTTAATTCCGTCATTTTCTTCGCCCCTCGCAACTCGCTGATTATTCGCATAATCGGATTCAACTCTTTCTTCCAATTGTTTGAGGTGTGAAACTTAACTCGTTTCTGAGCCGGAATAAT